GTCTTGTCTGGGATCGCGCCGTGCAACTCTTTTCCGTCAGTGCGAAAGGGTGCAGCAATCCTTTGTTTTTTCTAGAGCGGTAGTAATCTAACCCCCAGTTGGCATCAAAGTTGTCAGCACGTTAGCAACTCTAGGCAACTAATGAAGGTTACTCCAGCATAGTGAGCTATGTTAAGTAGGAAATGATAGAGTTCCAGGCGAATGAGCACATAAACCAACATATAAATACTAAACTTAATTGGTTTAGGCAAAGAAGAATTTTGCGCAGATAATGCTCCTGTTCTCAACTTCAGATTCAAATTTTAAAGCTTGCTCCGATCAACAAATGACAAGTTGACTCAAAATCTAAATGATAGGAATATCCATAGCAGCCCTGGAAAAATTTCTGTTCTTGTTGCAAATATTGGAGGAATGTGGATGGAGTACACGACAAAGAGAAATGACGAAATGAAAGGAGAAAGTTGTAGAAAACCACGATATACTGTTTACATTATTGCTGACAGTAAAATGCACACTATGTAAAGGCGACCTATGCCGTGTTTTCAAATCTCTATGCACGTCCGAGATGCCACATTATAATTTCGCGAAATCGCGTGAAATTTTAATTTTTCTAAAATGCCGGCAGGTTTCTGGCATATGTGGCATCTCGCACCCAGACCGGGATCACACGGACGAACTTGACGATTTGGTTTAACGCAGCTTAGGGCTAACTAAAACATGCCAACTTGATGAAATCGGAACTGTAGGCGTAATAGCCATCACCCAATAAGAAGTTTTACGGAAAGATGCCACATAGCAAGTTTACGGTGCAACATTGCCGCCACCTAAATGCCACCTAGTTCGCACCTAGTTGACAGCAGGAGTTGCCAGCATGCGGGGTACTTTACTCCGACTTGGCATTTATCAAATTAGGGACTACGTTCTGATTAGCACACGTTTAAAAAAGGTAAAATAAGCGACAGCGGAGATGCATGGACATTGTCTTCAAATGTGTTTTTGTTCGAGAGCTGTGTTAGGACGAGTCATCCACATTCTTAATGCATTTAGCTCTGTTGTGATGATTTCCATTGTTGGTGATTAACTGAAAGCTGATAGAGTCAAAAAGGATCTTAATTTTCCCATGATTTATTGAATGTACTAATTTAGGTGAGAAAAGCTGGTGGAATTAAGGAACTTCAGGCTAAAATAAATGAAGTGACAAATCTGCGAGCGAGAATCAAGGAGATCCTATCAGATGTGAGCTTGAAAAGAGATTTTTTCTTTGCCACTCTTCAACTTCTTCTCCAGATTGAACAAACACTTAATAAAGAGAGATTGAGCGATGAGGATTTGCGCCACAAATTGGGAGTTAATTGTAGTCGAATAAGCAGCGACAAACTTACAGAGCCATTTCTCAAGGTGGTTATTTTCAAACAAATAGTTAATGGATTTTTTCAATGCAATTAATTTGAGGAAGTTTCGAGGGTAAGGGCTAATCTGAATTCTAATTTGGATGAGGATAAGATACTGAAGAAAAAGTTCGGAGAAAACTGGCAATCTATTGAAATGCTAAGCAAACACGAGGTAGCTAGATATTGTAAAAAGTTAAAAATTATAAGACGGATTGTGTTTAGAAAGAACTTTATTCGTTATTTCCTCCTCGACCGCATCGTTTGGCAGAAAAGGCGCCAGAAGCAATGAGCTTCCTCCTGAAACTACTGGATAAAGCTCAAGAGATCAAATGTGAAAGAGTTGAAATTCTTAAGGTACCCTATTTTCCTTGATTGTTAATTCCATTCTCATACAGATACAGTGTAAAATACTTAAGGAAATCGATTCAAAACTTAAATCAACACCTGTAGAAGATATTTTACCGGTGCTTAACCAATGTAAAGCTCATGACAACAGCATCCTCAAAGAAAAAGCGCTCGAGGTTTGGGGAAGATT